GCGTGAGCGTCCCCTCTCGTTCTCTGGTCCCGCCGCTCACCATTCTGGCCTCAGGCAGGGGCAGTGATCTCCTGGCTTCTGTCACCTCCCAGGGCACCTGCGCTCTGCCTGCGGGCAGCTCCGGCTTCCCACGCTGGGGCCACGGGCCCAGGTGCCGCGAGCGCTGCTGGGAGCGCGGTGGGCACGTGGCGTCCAGAACTCGGTCTGGGCTGGTGCGGCCGCCGGACAGCAGGGGCAGGTTCCTCAGGAAGTTAGAGCCAGAGCCACCCGACAGCCCTGCAGGGGCTCCACTGGGTATTTACCCAAAGGGCAGGAGCGTAGGTTGGAGGGATGTTTGCGCCCTGACGTTGTGCGCAACAGGCGAACCATGGAGCGGGCCCGAGTGCTCACCGACCAATGGACGGATCGAGATGATGGCGGGGGGGGGGGGGCAGTGGAATACCAGTAGGGCCTCCAGAGAGGGGAACCCTGCTACCGGCAGCAACATGGACGGGGCTGGGGTCACTATGCTAAGTGAAATAAGTCAGAAATAGGCAAATATTGGCATATGCACGTGGAATTCAAGAAACCAAACAGGTGAACTGTATGATGGGGCGCAGGAGACAACGACAAACACCAGCCTGAGGGCTGATGGAGGGAGGCTGGTGGGGTGGCCAGGTGGGTAACGGGCGTTAGGGAGGCACCTTTGTGATGAGCACTTGGTCTGTAAGTGATGAATCACCGAGTTCTGCAGAAACCAATATGGCCGCGTGTGTTAACCAAGTAAAATTTAGATTAGGAAAAAGAAGAACAAAAGGAGACGGTCCCGGGTTATGAGGCCCTCGTCCCCCCAGGATGTGCTGCGTCACTTTGGAAAGCGGCCCATGGGCTCTTCGTGCTCCGAGCTGCGGGGCGGGTGTGGGCAGGAGGAGCTCGGCCAGCATCTCCCGATGGCCAGGGCTCCCTGGTTCTCTTTAGGGCCTTTCCTGTGGGGGGGTTGATCCCCCGAGGCTGTGGCCTCCTTTGTGAGGGTGCAGCGTGGATGCCCGTGCTGTGAAGAGCGGGGCTTGCCTTGGGCTGAGTTCTGTGGACTTAGGGAAAGGCATGCACTTACTAGACCTGCGGGGGGCGGGGGGAACCAGGCCCGTGTGCCTGCGGCCCCTGGGGTGGGCCACTGCTTTCCACGCATAGAGTTGGGCCCAAGACACTTAACATTATGCTGAGAAGAAGAGGTGGATTTATCGAAATTCTCTGCCTCCTAGGTCATGGAACTGCTGCTTTTAGGGTTTTTTTTTTTTGGCTTGAGTGTGGAAACTGTGCTGCCTGAGAGGTCAGCACCAGGGGATAAACCTGGGAGATAATGTGAAGGTTTGGGGAGTGATTTGTGGGGAGTGGGAATGAATAATACAGCCCTGCCTACAGATTCCAGAAGAGCGTAGGCTTCTGTAGTGAAGGGGGTTCTTATTTCGTAGTCTCTTAGGTCATTTAATTGATTTGAATGTTTTAAAGTGTCTTTTATTAAACCATTCACGTGGAAATCTAAAATAGAGCTTTAGTCACAATCTTCTTCGTAATAGAAAACAAGGTATCTTTTAAGGATAGCAGAAACTGAATGTATTTACATATGGAACTTTTTTTTTTTAAAGATTGTATTTATTTAATCACGAGAAACAGAGGGAGAGGCAGAGACACAGGCAGAGGGAGAAGCAGGCTCCGTGCAGGGAGCCTGACGCGGGATTCGATCCCGGAACCCCAGGATCACGCCCCAGGCTGAAGGCGGCGCTAACCGCTGGGTCACCCGGGCTGCCCCTCGAACTTCTATTTTATTTTATTTTATTTTATTTTATTTTATTTTATTTTATTTTATTTTATTTTATTTTATTTTATTTTATTTTATTTTATTTTCGAACTTCTATTTTAAACAGGCCTTAAGTAAGATCTTGCTTGAATTAAAGATCATTGGTATAAAAATAAAAAATCATAAAGCACTTTTCATATAGGTTGTCTGGAAGTTGCATTAGCATTTGGTTTTGGGATCAGAGCTGGGTATCTGACCTATACATGTTTTCCCATGTTGGTTGGGAATGTGTTATTGGTATGAATGGAAAATTAAGAACAAGTAACAAATTCTTACTGTGGGGAATCCCTGGGCGGCTCAGTGGTTTAGCGCCTGCCTTGGGCCCAGGGTGTGATCGTGGAGTCCCAGGATCGAGTCCCGCATTGGGCTCCCTGCATGGAGCCTGCTTCTCCCTCTGCCTGGGTCTCTGCCTCCCTCTGTGTGTCTCTCTTGAATAAATAAATAAAATCTTTAAAAAACAAAACAAAAAACAAATTCTTACACAGGTACAATGAGATATAACCAGTTCTGGAGAACTTGTGGGTTCATTATCTGGGGGTAGAGCATGAGGCTAAGCATCTCCTACCTATTTAAAATTAATTTAGAGCTTCTGGGCTCTGTTTTGAAGGTTTGCATACATTCCATTGCTTTGGCCTTTTTAAAAAAATGTTTTAATTTTTTTAAATTTTAAAATTTTCATTTTTTTAAACTGCGCCCCACATATACAATTCTACTTTTATTTTATTTTTTATAAATTTATTTCTTATTGGTGTTCAATTGACCAACATACAGAATAACACCCAGTGCTCATCCCGTCAAGTGCCCCCCTCAGTGCCCGTCACCCAGTCACCCCCACCCCCTGCCCTCCTCCCCTTCCATCACCCCTAGTTCGTTTCCCAGAGTTAGGAGTCTCTCATGTTCTGTCTCCCTTTCTGATATTTCCCACTCATTTGGGAATATAAAAAATAGTGAAAGGGAAAAAAGGGGAAAGGAGAAAAAATGAGTAAATTTAATTTTTAATTTTTTAAGGAATTATTTATTTGAGACAGGGTATCTGTAAGAGAGCAAGCGAGAGAGAGAGTGCAAGCGCACGAGCAGAGGGAGAAGCCGGTTAGAAGCCCGCCAATGCAGGGCTCAGTCCTAGGCCCCCGGGATCACGACCTGAGCCACAGGCAGACTGAGCCATCCAGATGCCCCTCCATTGCTTGGCCTTCGTGCAGTAAACTAGAGATTGACAAATCATAACTTTTAATTTGGCTTATTTTTAAAAAAAATGTTAAGGGCCTCCCCGTGCCTCATCCTCTGCAGTCTAAGAGGATGCACATGATGGTGATGTGGTGCTTGCCGCAAGGAGTCAGTAGTCACGTGGGAGAAGTGTCGTTTCCACTTCTGGGTGGATGAGGCAGGTAGGAAGGCCGTTCTGCTGAACCAGTCATGTAGGTGTAGAGCATGTACGTGTTTATTTTATACCTCCCGAGTCGCTTCTGACGTCACTTAGGTGGTTGGTAGGGCTCGTTGCCTTGTCGACGTAGGACCTGGAGGCCCCTGCAGTCCCCGCCATGTGGCCTCGTCACGGCCGTGTCACCGTCCAGCAGTCTGTTGCTCCCTGGCCCGCTGAGTGGAGCCCTGCAGCACGGCCCGCTGGAGGGGTGGCCCCTCGTTATTTCTGCCGAGCTCTGTTGCTGGAGCAAGTCGCAGGCTCTCCCTGCGCTCGAGAGGAATTTGCCCACCGCAGTATGTCTCTGGTTCCTCCGCTGACCTTTGTCCCCAGTGAGGCTGAACACTTGAACCCTAGGAAGACCGATGAGAGTCCTTGATCCCAGTTGACAGGTAAAAAATACCGTTTGGGAAACCAGGAGTGGATTGTTTTCCCCTCTTAGTAGGTAGAAAACAGGAGAAAGCAATGTGTCTGGACTCACAGTATGGATATTCAGGAGTCACATGCAGGCAGCAAGGTGTGCGGCCCGGGTGTCGACAGGAATCCCACAGGAGCCTCTGGCTAGATGCAGCCCTTTTTTATCTGGGTGTCTTAGCTTTGGCTGGTCGCCGAGGAGTGACCTATGGCAGGAACACACTTTAAGGGACAGGTCTCCTGGAGAGTGCACTGCAGCACGCAAGCTAGACAGATGGTGGCTTACTCAACCTTGGACGGGAGTGTAGTCCTGCAGGTTGGCAGGCGCGGGGCAGAGAGGCAGAGCTCCCTGAGTTTACCTGGATCTGCCTTGTAAGGCACAACGCGGTCGCCTGACACACCCTGGGATGGTGTGACACGCACTCAGCACACCCACCAAGGTGGGGTGAGGGTGATCGCGACAGATTGCATGGCCTGGACCTGGACAAAGTCTGGGATACCAGGCTGGAGGATGTTCTAGCAACAAGGTGAAGGGCAGGTGCAAAGACCGCCTTGCAGTCAGAAGCAGGGGTGTTCCCCCAAGGGTCGGTGTTGCTCTCGTAGAATCAGACGTATTTCGTGGGAGGAAAAGGTGCCGCTGGGCCTGCCTCTCTTTGCAGTTAAGGATCGTGTGCATCTGTGTGCTCACAAGGTGATTTGGATTGTTACGATTAAATAATAATAATAAAAAAAACCAAATCCAGTAAGGACAGTATTCATTATCTGTTTGTGGGCCCTCGTTGGAGAAAAGGTCTGCATGTCGTCTTTTTGGATGATAAGAGCAGGGCGCCCCTTCTGGCTGCTAGAGAACCGATGGGGGATTTTGTTTTGCTCCATCAAGTCCCTTGGCTCAGATTCTTTTGCTCCAAGTCTCCCTTCCTTTCTTTTCTTTCTTTTTTCCTTTTTTTATTTTTTTTAACTTTTTAAAAAACTTTTATATTTTTTAATAAATTTATTTTTTATTGGGGTTCAATTTGCCAACATACAGAATAACACCCAGTGCTCATTCCGTCAAGTGCCCCCCTCAGTGCCCATCACCCAGTCACCCTCACCCCCCACCCACCTCCCCTTCCCCCACCCCTAGCTCGTTTCCCAGAGTTAGGAGTCTCTCGTGTTCTGTCTCCCTTTCCCTTCCTTTCTTACTCGACGTTTATGCTCTCATTTTATTCGTTTTGGTATTTGTGACCGTTATCGTGATAGTTCTCAACTATTTTTTAGAACGTGGGAAATAGACAGTGTATTAGGAGAAACCAAGAGACAGTTCGCTGAAATTCTTTATGTTTTTCCTTTTAGCACAGATACTTGTAACACCGCATGGCGGTCTCCTGATCGGACCATTTTCAAGAGCTCACATCAGCCTTCCTACAGCTTAAAAGGTGAGTAGAACTTAAGACTCTTCTCTTTGATAAAGTCTGTGAGGCAGAGCTCATCGCAGCACCGACGTTGTGAGTTTCTGGGCCTCTGAGAAAGTCGTGCAATTTCTAGGCACAAAAACAATCTTACTCATGTGGCTTTTTCTGATGGGAAGAAAGTCGCATGACATCACACTAAATGTGGCCTTTCTTTTCTGTTTGTGATTTACCTTGAGCTGTGAATGTACATAGAATACGTATTTCTAGACTTACTAAAAGAAAATCTTACTATTCAGCTTGTCTTTGTTGCTGAGCCTGAGTAATGTGCAGATACTTAAAGACATTGTGAGATCAGTGGAAAATGGGATTCTTTAATTCTCATTCTAAATTCTGTGTTTTGTTTGGTTTCCCGCTTCCTAAAATGCGGATAATGATGGGATTGCCGTGAGAAATAAGTGAGGCGTCATACATAGTAATGTGGTATCTGGCACATAGCGTACACTAACTAACTAAATACTAATTCCTGTTTCTTTCTTATCTGTTGTGACATCAGGCGGGCAGGTGTTTCTGTCTCTGTATTGGTAACGCGTGTGGCTTATTCAGACCCTTGAATTTAAATGGACTTTTCACAGTCTGGAACCTTCCTCAAATTGTCGGTGTTACACAGCATGCTGTGTGTAGCCGTCTACACACACCCTGAATCCAGGTTGGGGGCAGTTCCCCTCTGTGGTCGAGTGAATGCAGTTCATACGTATTTCTTTCCCGAGTGGAGTTTACCACCAGATACCTGAAATATATTTTGCTTCCAGGTATTTTACTGTCAGATATTTGAAGCCCATTTGATGGGCTGTCCCGGGGTAGGTGATGAGCTTTCGCTGGGGAGCATCCAGACTGTACACCTTAGAGATGCTCAATATGATGACATATTTCTCATTCGTATGATTCTTTATTGCCCAATAGGGCGGTGTTTTTGAGAATCCCTTACCTTTCCTTACTTGGTGAGTTTTTTGTTTGTTGTTGTTTTTTTTAAGATCTACTTTTTTTCTTTTTAAGATCTACTTATTATTAGAGAGAGAAACTGAGCGTACTTGGAGAGTAGGGGCCGAGAATCTCAAGCAGACTCCCTACTGACTGTGGAGCCTGACATCACAGGACTTGATCTCACACCCTGGGATCATGACCTGCACCGAAGTGTTCGACTCTTAACTGAGCCACCAGGCGCGCCTGACTTGGTGCGTGTTGGTGAGCTGTGCTTCCGTGACGTGGCGTGCCCACCACCAGCTTAAGGTGGGAGGCAACGGCTCATCGCTCCCAGGGCCTGAGCTCGTGTGGGCCCAGGTTAGGCGCTCTTTCATTGTCTCAGAGACCGTCCTCCTTCGCTTTACCCGCTAAAAACTAAAGCTGCCTTCAAATAGAATTTTTCCGCGCAACCCAATATACCACTGGACTATGCTCCTAGGGACTGTGCAGCTTGGTGTACGAAATTTTTGACAAAAGTAGAAATATACTTGCAAATTACATAAGAACCCAATCCCCCCCCCCATATGGGGTTACCTCATTCTGTCAGTTATTTTAAGCAACTTTCAGAATTGGTAATGGAAATCTTTTTCTTGACTACATTACCGGGTGTGGATTTTAAATTATAATGCAAGGCTGTGTTGCTTCTTATGAACGTTCGAATGGTGCGGGAGCAGCTCCCCATCTGCAGACCTGCGTGCTGCTCCGTGCATCCGGGGGCATTTTCAGGCACCGTGCTTGGATTCTGCGGTGTTGCAAGAACGTTCACACCCTCTAAAATAGGTCCTTCCAGCTGACTGTCCTGGAATTTATATCTGCTCTGTTAACTTGTAAAATTCTCTTTCAGAGCTCACAGCTGGACGGCGAGACATTCCTAAGAGGAGGGACAGGTGGCATGGCCACTCTGCCGCAGACACTTGGCCGGGAAAGCCTGGCGTGGGGGGGGGGGGATGCATTTCTGCATGAACTGCAGAATGTGCCTGTCTTACCATATAGCGGATTTTTTTTTTGACTTAGTTTTAAAATGGGGTTGGGAAAAAAATTTAAAAAATAAAAAATAAAAATAAATAAAATGGGGTTGGGTCTTCGTGTTTAGGTTGTTATTAAATGTATTTTAATATTGCCGCCGCCTCAATAAATCTGAAGACAAACACCTCTTGGCTGTATCACACTTGTAAGGTGTAGCTGGAAACATGGCCTTTGGCTCAAGTTCTGTCCTTGCCCTTTTCCTTCACTTTTTTACTCTGACAAGTCCTAAGCCGGCCTGAGTCTCAGCTCTTTTCATTTTTAAATGGAATAATGTTTATCTTGTGGAATTACTGCGAAGATGCCTAATTCAGCATCCACACACCAGAGGAGTTCGGTAAAATGCCAGTTTTGAGCCGTCCGGACGCTGAGTCCAGTCCAAGGACCGCGTGCCAGCAGGATCGGAGGAAGAGGGGCGGCAGAGGCATGGGTTTCTCTGTTCTCCTTGGGGGCGACAGAGGTTTGCTGAGGAATTCCACGATGCGTCTTACGGCTTCGGCCAGGTTTGGTGCAATGACGCCTCCAGGTTGTAGGTGAAGAAATCATTAGTTCCAGCTCTTTGGGCCATTTTCTGTCCTTGTCATGAGAGAAGGAAACCTCAGACCTACACATGGTTGGCTCTCAGCACAGACAAGACAGGTCTACATGGGGAGACTCCTCCTCTCTTGGGTCCTTTAGGGTCCTTGAGGGATCTGTGGTCGATGGTGAGAAGCAGGCAGCAGTGAAAGTCGAGGCCCGCAGTCCAGGGGGCGGATGCTCCCGCTTTCAACAATAATGACCTTAGACACCAGCTGTACATCCCTGACCTGAACTTCCTGGCTTTGTGCTAAATTTAAACTTTTAAGGAAACTCAGAGAGGACCAGCAGTGCCGGGAGAAGCCACACTTTTTGTGCATGGGCAAATAAAGCAAGGCTTCCTTCTCCAGATGTTTCCTGGGCACGGACAGTAAAACAGATGAAACTGTGAGAATGTGACCAAACGCGAGCATCGGGAGCTGCGGTGTCAATGAGCGTGTCCGTGCCGCGGGCTCCCTCATGTGAAGGAGGGGCGAGCTCTGCTTTAGTATTAGGTCGGGATGGTTTGGAGGTGGCACTGAAACGTCTTGTCAGTGCGAGAAGCCGGACGGTGGTGGGTTGGTGCCTCTCTGGCCTTTGTGTTTGTCCATTGGAGAAGTGACCCCGAATTCCCGTTGGGGGGAATCCCGGGACAGGTCCCAGGCTGCCTGGTTCTGAGTTGCCCCTTGGCTTCTGAAAGGGTTTTGGGTTCTCAAGGCCTCATGGAGGCCCCCTTGCTCTCCCTTTGCCTCTCTTCTCCGCCCCCCCTTCCTCCCTCGTGTATACACAGCGTCAGGGGACTCGGATTTGAAGTCCACCTTGCTGCTCTGCTTCCTCCTTTAAGGTTAAAAATGGCACAAGAAAGATCGAAATGCTGCAAGGGCAGGAGGGATGCTTTGTGCCACGTTTGAGCTTGGGCCAACCAGCGATGTCAAGACACAGGCCGGCGGCCGGCCCACCGCCTCGAGAGGGAGGAGAAGCTTGCTGTCTCTCTCCTTTCTGTCCGTGGCCTGGGAACTTGGGAATTGTCTTTTGCCGATTTGTTGGGTTCTGTGCTATTATGAGACTGTGCTATTTTCTTAAAGTAGACTCATTCAGAGCTGCGTCAGAAAAATACCTTTTCATTTTGGCTTCGAAATCAAACGTGCCAGTGGCTTCGTTGGCCCGTGCCCAGCACCGTAGTGTCAAACTGCTAAAAAGCTAGCAAATTTTCCACCTAGAAATTTTGTGGGGGAGGGAAGAGTAGGGGGGCATGGGGAAGAGCATCAAAATAAACCTTTCAGAGATTCTGGATTGTGTGGTGGCTTGCGCACTTTTCCGTGGTGAGGGAGGTTAGGAATAGCATTGCTTTTTTCTTTTCTTTTCTTTTTTTTTTTTTTTTTTTGCCTTTTCTTTTTTTTTAATAATTTATTTTTTATTGGTGTTCAATTCCATAGCATTGCTTTTTATGGGAGTCGCAGCCGCAGCTCAGAAGTTGGGCTTTGCGGGCTCAGTGTGTGGGGGTGACACGGCCTCTGCAGCCTGCGGGGCGGGGGGCAGGCCCGACAGACGGCACTCAAGCGTGGGATGTGCTTACCGAGCTCAGGTTCTCGGGAGGCCTTGCGGTGGCCTCTGATGCTGGTTGTGACAGACTGAGTTCCAGCAGCCCCCCAGAGTCACGTCGGCGTAGGTGTAAGGACGGTCACGGGAACAGGTGTCACAATCCAGAGGCTGTTGTCCTTCAGGCCTGTGTTGGCCTGACGGGCCGATCCTCTGGAGCTTCCATGAGATGCCCTCCCCTTAGGGGCCTTAGCAGCGGCGTGGGGGGGGGGCTGCCCCATCAGCAGGAGTCTCTACGGATTCTTGAAATGTGCCGGTTACACGATTTTCCACAAGGGGGGTGGGTGGCCAAGTGTCCCTCAAATTCAGCGTAGAAAGGAGGTGGAAAGAAGCAGCCACTGGGACGGAGGTTCTTAACCTCCAGGGGACCCGGGACGTATGTGACTTCCTTGAAATGGTGCCTCTTCCTGCAGAGAAGGCCAGAGGGCTCTGGTGGGGTTCTCCGTAGGATTCTGACCTCCAGAAAGGGTAAGAGCATTCGCAGTAGAGCATGAGACGTGGGGTTCATTTAACTTGGAAAAATCCCTTTGGAAATGGAATGAGTGTGGGCAGAGAAAGACGCCAGCGGGAGTTCGGGGGACAGAGCAGGCGGAGGGGTCTGGCCATCAGTCGTCTAACTTGCGGCACCAAGGGGGCTTCTGGAGGTTTCCACTGTGGTTTTCTGTGTGAGCGTCATTCTTTTTTTTTAATTAATTAATTAATTAATTAATTAATTTATGATAGTCACAGAGAGAGAGAGGCAGAGACACAGGCAGAGGGAGAAGCAGGCCCCATGCACTGGGAGCCTGACGTGGGATTCGATCCTGGGTCTCCAGGATCGTGCCCTG